CAGGGCTGGGGGTGCAGAGAGACCACGGGGCTGGTGCGGGACCTCTCTGGGTTTGCTGTTGTGTGTGTGGGGGGAACATCCCTGCCTTGGTTTTGCTTTTGCGTGGGGGGAGCATCTGTAGCTTGGTTTTGCACCACAGGAACATCCCCATCTTGGTTTTGCTCTTGCACCGCGGGAGCATCCCCATCTCAACTTGATTTTTCCACTGGGGGAACGTCCCAGCCTCGGTTTTGCTTTTGCGTGGGGGAAGCACCCGTGTCGCGGCTTTGCTTTTGCACCGCAGGAGCCTCCCCATCTTGGTTTTGCTCTTGCGCCACTGGACATCCCCATCCCAGCTACGCTTTTGCCTTGGGGGAACATCCCTGCCTTGGTTTTGCTTTCGCACCACGGGAACATCCCCACCTTGGCTTCGCTCTTGCACCGCGGGAGCACCCAACCACCCGTGCGAAGCCGAGCAAAGACCTCACCCTGGTTCTGCGCCCACTTCACACCGACTTCTCCACGAGCTCCGCCGGGCGATTCTTTGCAAGAATTGCCCGGGGATGCCGAAGGGAAAAAAATAAATTGAGAAAAAACGTGGGGAGAGCACGTTTCTCCTTGTGCTCCATCCTGAGCGGAGCCGGGGCGAGCCGGGCGCAGCGGGCGGCTGTAGCCTGGGCGGCTCGGCCTGTTGCGGCTTGTTCCCTGCATATTTTACGGATGCGTCGGCAAGGTTCTGCCTCCCTTTGGGGCTCCGCGAGGCTCCAGAGGCTGCAAAGCAATTACCCCCTCCTTGCTCCCGTGATTTCGGCATTCCTGCCAAAAGACGGCCCCAAATTTCCCTGCCTGCCCCAAGCGGGGCCGGATCCTGCCTCCATCCTATGCCCTATTTACAGCCGGGATGGACCCCCCCCCTGCATCAGGCAGGCAGGAGAAGTCCTGCGGCTTGCTTTCTTGCATGAAAATGAATCCAAACCTTAAAAAACAACAAAAATAAACCCGCCAGGGGCCAACGTGCGCCCGAGCCGCGGCCGCGCAATCACCCCCACGTTAACCCGTAATTAATGCCGTGATGAAATTCAAACAGGTTTCGCTCTGCGGAAAGTCCGTCTCGCCTTCCAGTAAACTCTATCTTGGTTTAATTGGCTCTAATTTGCATGAAAACAATTATGGGCCGCGTTTTGCCTGTGGAAAGGTTGGGAAAGTTATGGAAGTGTCTGGGAAAAAAAGGGATTCGTGAATCACCGGCATCGGCAGCCGCGTTGCATCTGGGGAGAGCCGGAGCCTTTGTGTCTTGGGGTGTAAAGCTTGAAACGTCCCATGAGGTCCGAAAGGGAAGGGGGAGGGTGGGGGTTGTCTGGAGAGAGAGTCAAGGATTGGTTTTGGGGTGGGGGTGAAATAGGTGCCCTGATGCCCCGGTGATGGGCTGGGGGATGGGGAAGACAGACCCAAGCATCACCGTAGCGGGTTGGGATGAATCAACCCAGAGCAAAAACGCTCCCTCAATCCCCATGTCACCCTAAAGGGGAAAAATTGGGGTGAAAGAGCCTAAAATCAGGGTTCACCCGGGTGCCCAGGGTGCCCAGCGCCGGCGGGTGCATCCCCAGCCCGTTCCCCGCCCAGCTGCACCCTCCAGATACAGAAGCGATCCTTGCAATCAAAGCAAATTTTTGCTTTTTTTTTTTTTCTCCTTTCTTGCTTTTTGAAGCCAAAAAAAGCACCGTGTACGGCACAGGAAAAAAAAACAAAAAAAACCAACCAAAAAACAAACCAACCCAAAATCCCCCTTGCGCATCCCATCGGCCTCCGCCGGGATTTCGGGGGCTCGGGGCGGGCACCCACGGGAGCTCGGCCACGTGGCAGCGTTTAGGCGAGAGCTGTAAATCACAGCCAGCTGCTGAGTGGGGAAAGCAGAGGAAAAACCCCGCGGCGGCTGCGGGTGGAGCCGCCTCGTGCTCAAGGCCTCCCGGGGCGGGGATGCCTCGGGGTGCCCCGTGCGTTCCCGGTTTGGGGACACGCAAGGGACGCGACACACCCTCCCTTTGCACGGCTTTTGGGTGGCATTGCACGGGTGGCACGTCCAAGCGCCCACTCAAAAGGTTTTGATTTGGGGGGGGGGGGGTATTTTCCGGGAGCTCTTGTTCCGTCCGGTGTTTATTCGGCTCCTAAATAATTTGGGAGCATCCCAAATAATTTGCGGCATCGTGCATCTTGCTATGCGTGCTGTGGTCACTAGATGGGGAGATAACAGCTTAGCATGAGTGCGCGGAGCTGCTGCCTGCTCCTGTCTGGCTGCCAGAGCTCCTCCAGCCCCCACAGAGCTGGGATTTCCAGCCATGAGCTGGAGATGGATGGGTGCTGCAGATGCACCCCAGCACCCCTGCACTGATGCAACGGGCACCCATCGAGCTTCACCCCAGCACGTCCAGGTCTACTGAGATGGGGGTTGGTCGTCCAAGGCTTGTCCTGGCCCCACGGCCACCTGGATCCTGCTGCTCCCGGGGGTGGGAGATGATGGAGGATCCCCCCCAGCCCCTAAACGTCTGGCCCAACACCAAAACCCAACGGGAGCAGCTGCAGGAGATGCAACGGGGGCTCCATCAGCAGCGGTGCGGTGCCGCGTCCTTCCTCCCCGGGAGGCAAAGAGGATGGTGAAGCCGCTGCACAGCACCCCAGATGGGATGCTCAAACCCAGCATCCCTCCCACATCCTCCCCTCCCTCCTCACCCCCGTCTCCCCTTTCCCGCGGGCCATGAGGGTCCCCGGTTCGCGGCAGCCGGGAAGCGGCGAATCCCTGGCAGCGAGCGTTGAGCAACTGGCTGGAGCCGTATCTTCCCGGTGCCACGAGACTCCTCTCTATCTCGCCTCCCCAGGCATGAGTTATAATGTGCAATAAAAAGAAAATCAGTGCATTGATGCCAGTTAGTGTGACTAATCCAAGACCCAGCCTATTAACTGGTGAGTGGAGCATCCGTCTTGGCTCTCATTAGAAACTCAGCCAACTACCCAGGGATAAATCTTTCAGCGCATGTGGGAGCGCGGCTCAGTGGTCAGAGCATCCAGGTTACCGGGGTTTTGCTCCTGGAGCCAGATTTGGTGCTTTGAAGGAGCCAAAGGGCATTTGGGCTCTGGTTGTTAACTGGGGGGATGCACAGGGATGGATGGGAATGGGGGGGGGGGGGTTGCAGCGGGAGACAAGGAAGAAGGAAGAGCCCCAGGAGCATCCCACGCAGATGGAGGTGGGGAAGGAAAACTGAGGCACAGAGCAGTTAGCGCTCAGGCAGCGCTGGATGGCAACCCGTTGCCAACGGCCTCCCATCGCCAACAGCATCCCATCGCCAGCAACATCCTATCGCCAACGGCGTCCCAGCACCAACAGCCTCATCCACCCTTCCCTGAAGGACACGGTGGCTCTGCCACGGCGCTGCCGCTCCTGCACGTGCCCTTATTTGCTTTATCTTTGGCTCTCTCCATTAATCTCGGTGTGATTTACGGGGTTGTGTTATTTATCTTCTTCTCCCTCCTTCGCCAGGCTGGACTGGAAGGTCCACACCTTTTTATAGCGCAATAAAGCCTGCACAATGAAGAGGGTTTCGTGAGGTTTTCCAGCCGCAGGGGAGCAAGGGGATGTCGCAGGAGGCGAGTCAGGGACCTGGGACACCGAGGCCACCCATGCGAGGAAGTAAGGGCTCGCGGACAGAGGCTTAACCCACCCAAATCACCTCCCGGAGATGTTTGGTGGCATCTTGCAGAAGACTGTGGCTGGCCACAAGGGATGTGGGTCCTTGTGCCTCAGTTTCCCTCCTGGGCATTTAGGCATTGCAGCTTTACCAATGGGGACATCCCTCCATACGCAGGGTGACACGGTGGGGAGACCTCTCAGCTCAGCAATGACCACAGCGGTGTGGCCACAGCGGTCCCCCCTACCCATCCCGAAGCAACGGAGCTTGGGCTGGACGCCCAGATTCACTCCCTTAAATTCAAAAGGCTTCCACAACCCCTTCCTACCTGCAAAACTCTGCCTCCAAACCCCACCTTTGTCTTGAATTTTAAACAAAAATCCCATTACATTTGCTTCCAGCCCAGCAATGGCGCAGACGCTGGCTTCCAGATGACCGGCACTTTACGGGAATACCGCCCTATTAAGGTGCCGGTGCCAGCGCTGCATTGGCCAGGGGCGTTGATTTAAAAGCGCCTTACGGCTGCTTAACGTAAAGCGATCGTCTACCGACTTAAGCTAAATCAATAGAAGGCAAGTTCGAATCAATTTGAAAATACCCAGATCCAGGGCCTGGGTGCCGTAAATCAGTATCAAAATCAGACATCGAATTAAACAGGTGCAATCTGGAGAGGAGATGGCGAGTTAAGATTTTCCTGCGTGTTTCTGAGTACGGCCAAGAGACTGGCTGGGGAGCACAGATGGTCCTACCTCGCTGTGGCTGCATTGCTCTGGCATTGCCTGGAGAGTGGCTGCAGGGTTTGAAGGCCAATGCAGGGTAGCAGGAGGTAGAAAGGGACCTCTGGTCCCTCCATGCCAACCAAGAGACAAATCTGGGCTCTAGTTGAGGCTCTTTGGGGTGTCACAGTGGGATTGGGTTCAGCTGAGGTTGCAGGGACCAGCGGTGTTGGCTGGAAGGGACCCTGAAGGACTCTCAGCCAACCTTGGACCTTTGGACATGACCAAGGTTTGAAGACCTCAAGGATGGAGGTGCCAAGGATGGAGATCATCCACTTGCCCCAGGGCTCCCATCCTCCTTATCCCATGCAAGCACCTAGGGCTGGGCTAAAGTCAATGGAGAGTGCGAGCACCTTCATGGTGGTTCCTCTGACCTGGCTTCAGTGTCACCCCTCCAATGGGACAAGCTGGAGGATGCCCTTGGCTAGAGACCAGTGCCGAAGATCAGGGAGGTGAGACCCAGCCAACACATCTTGGGCTTGGATAATGTCCTCTTCTCTTCAGCCTGGACCAGACCTTGCCATTGATCTTGAATTGGCCAATTTTAGGAGGTTTTCCGACTCACCTGCATGTTGCGGCGGACAGGGAGCCGGTATCCTGCTGCCTGCCACCGGACCTCCTCCTGGAGGACCTAAATCTTTTTGGAAGCAAGTCGTAAAATCCCAGGCGCGGAGGTGTTTTTACAACCCCCCCTTCCCACCCGCGGCTGCGGCTGGGGCCGGCACGGAGCAGTGTCCCCGCAGGGAGCTGGCCCTCGCTTCTTGGCCGGGGCTCATCTGGCATCGCTGTGTGTGAGTAGTCGCCTTGTCAAGGAGCTGGAGCGTCTCCAACCTGATGTTTTTCATTTCGTTGTCAGCTCCTTGCCAGCATCCGGCCTCGTTGGCTCTCCGGCAGCGGCTGACCGCGGGGGGGGAGCGTCCTTCGGGTAGGAGAGATCTGCCAGAGTGGGTGGTGGTATCATCCTGCCTGCTGCTGAGCACCTCCCAGCCTGGGCTACCCCACCGATTGGTTTCCCCCATGTGCCATTTTTAAATTGTTTTTCCCAGAAATACCGCCCGGGCGGGCTCTGGAGGTTGAGTCGTGGTTTCTGGATGGTCCCAGAGCACCTACCACCACCAGGGACATACGTAGTTCTTGGGATGGTGCACATGTGGTGGGACCAAGTCGTGCCGGGCGCCGGCGTCATTGCAGACGCATTTTGCACCACGCACACGGTCACCTTTGCGTGGTCCTGGTTGCTCTTCCCAGCACCAAACGCAAGGGCGTCGTCAACTCAACGGCGTTGACTTGGCGGCCGCAAGCCATCATCGTGGATTCGGTGACCTGGGGGACCACACGGGGGTTGTGCCAGCCCCCCGTGATGGGGACGCATCTCAGCTCCCCGGCGCAGAGCCCGGCTCCTCAGCCTCAGCCAAACAGCAGCCTGGCCAAGCGCCCACATCTCCCACCTCGTTAACGTCAGGGGGATTGATGGGGCTTTGGTATCGCCCCAAATGCCTTGACCTTGGAGAACCAGCCATTTCACATGGACTTAACGGATAAAACGACACTTGAGTATTGGCCGGGCGCGAGCTGCCTTATCACTTTTGCAGGCTGTAGTGTTTGGGGCTATTACAGTAGCATACTGTACCGCAATCGCTTTATAAGGATGGATGGTTAGATAGAGATAATAAAGCCCAAGAGCATTAAATCTTCACGAGACACCGGCCACACTGCCTCATCCACCAGGCTGAAAAGGCTATATATGTTTTTCATAATTTGTAATTACTTTTTTACAGTTCCCTCCCATAACTCTGTCCATCATCTGGGTCAAAATATACAATGTGTGTGGGAGTAAGAGTCATAAAAATGTGAAAACAAACAGTTTGTCTTCAGGGAGATTAACGCACAGTTAAAAGACCCATTTTAACACCCTCTCCATGCCGTCAGCCAATTAGCCGATATAATGGGCTCCACTTGATATTTTAGTTTTATTTTATTTCACAACGATACCAACGCGCTTAATTGTGAACACATGATCCCTAATTGCTGGCGGTGTCATCTTCGAGGTATGCGGCTTATGCAAGAGCGCAGCGATTTGGGGCTAATCTGGAGGAGACTGGGCAAGGGAATTCCCTCTGAAATTCAGCTGCCGGAAAAAGGCATCCTGGGTGGAAAGAAGAGGATCCTGAATGGCAGACGGGGCAGCGTTGGGTCCACGGTAAGTGACTGCAGAGGATGAGCTGCCTTGTGGACTCTCTGATGTCTACAAAGGGTTGAGGGAGATCTACAAAGATCCTTTGGGGATCTCCTCTGATCTCCTCTGCTGGTTCAATGAAATTGGGCAGATCTGAGCATCGCTGCCTAATCCAGTTGGTATTGGCCTCCAGGTTCAAAGTTATTAGGTGACACACACTCACATCCAGAGAACAATTGCATAAATAGCCATTTTTTCCCCCTTCACCTTTTCCCTTTTTCTACTTTTAAAATAAATGACGTCGGAGATGTCTCTCAAAAAAACCCCCAAAACAACAAAACAACCCTGCAACCCTCCTGCCCCTCCTTCTGCTCTTTGAGAATCCCTTAAAAAAATTGTAACTGGTTTCCAAACATCCCATTCATGGGAGCTGGAAAGGGGCCACATTTGGCTCCGATGGAGCCGTGTCTTTTCTTGGCTGCAGCAGGAGAGATCTGGGGCAAAATATCATGTGTTTCATTTCTCTGCTGGCTGGAAGGGATGCTGTGATGGAGGGATGGGGGTAGGGAATGATTTTGCCCCGAGAGAGGAAGCCGAAAACCATAACTCCTCATGAAAGAGATATTTTTGGAAAGTTTGCCTCGGCTGGTGGTGCTGGAATGCGGCTCCTCGTGGCGAGTGACAAGGAGGAATTATGCTGGGACAGAAAATGGCCTTTCTTCGCCCTCCTGCCCAGCTCACATCAGGGCTGACACCCAATATTTTTTTTTAGGAGAGGAACGGCTGCATTTCCCAGGGTGGTCCTGGCCCCTTCCCACCCCTGTGGCTGCAGGCGATGGGTTTGCTCGGGGACGGCATCATCCCTCCCAGATGTCCCGTCCCATGTTGTCCTCGCACAGCAGCCACCCTCCTCCCCCCAGACCCCACCTCCAGCCCCACATCCCTTCTCTGGCCATGGAGAACCACTTGTTTCAGTAGATGGGGCCACCGTCGGAGCTTTTCCACCCTCTATTCCCTTCCCAGGGGCTTTTTGCTATGAATTTCTTTCTTTGCTTCAGATTAATCCATCTGAGCAGGAGAGCAGCCCCTGAGCAGAAGAGATCCAGGCTTTTTCTCTTAAAAAATAAAAGCTGGTTGCTGGCAGGGGATAGCTCCCTAATGCCTTCCTGCTTCAGTAGATGGGGCCACCGTCGGAGCTTTTCCACCCTCTATTCCCTTCCCAGGGGCTTTTTGCTATGAATTTCTTTCTTTGCTTCAGATTAATCCATCTGAGCAGGAGAGCAGCCCCTGAGCAGAAGAGATCCAGGCTTTTTCTCTTAAAAAATAAAAGCTGGTTGCTGGCAGGGGATAGCTCCCTAATGCCTTCCCCACCCTGAGCAGCCCAGGGCCCCCCACGCATGCTGGGGGGACTGGGGTGGAGAGAAACGGCCGAGAGGGACCTTTGGGGGATGTCACGGTCCTTGGGCACCCCCACGACCTGCCGATTTGGGGTCCTGACTTGTTTCTACCCCCGTGACATTTAAAAAGACATTTTGGCCCATGGGAACCGCCTGGGGCAGGGCTGGAGGGAGGTTATCCCCGACGGAGGGCTGGGGTTATCCCTGCGAGGGGGGAGAGAGCATGTGGGGTTTGTAGCTTGGAAAGAAAAGGGGAAAAAAAAATGCATATGGGAAGGGAAGAGAGAAAAAAAGAAAAGAAAAAAAACATTAGGAAAATGAAAGCAACTGATGACTAAATTGCTTTGGTTAAACATCTGCACAGCGTTACGGACACGGTGCTGTCTTCAAACCAGACACACAGCTCCAGCCGCTCTGCTTCGCCTCTCCCAGATTGTGTGAGCCCTCCTCGCTCTCCCGCTCAGCTCTAATGAAAGCAGCAGCTTTTATAAATAGCAGCTGAGAGGTCCTGGATGGGAATTTGCCTGACTTAATAGTCGTCTATTTAGACTAAGTTTTGGCAGCTCCTGTGAAGGGGAATCAAGCGTGAGCCGGCATCCCGGGTGACCCGATCCTGGCCTGTCCAGGAGGTGGGAGACGAGGGTCTGGGGCAAGGGATCAGGTTGAGTTTCCATCTCAGCAGCTTGGTGGCACCTCTGGCACCTGCCAGCCACCTACAGCCATGACCCACGGCAGGGCTTCGTCATCTTCAACGTCAGGAGCTCCCCTCAAAGCCATGAGAAAAGGTGTATTTTGGGTTGGTTCCCCTCTCCCTTCACCACCGCTGGATAATTTGGTGGGCTGTAGATCAAATGACCGCCTTGATGTCTCCTGAGACTCATCCCAGGCTGAAATCGGGGCCGGCGGCAGGTGAAATCCCCCCCTGACTGCTCCACGCTTTGATCCATCTGGATGGATCTTGGGCCGCTCATTCACAACGGGGTCCCCAGCAGCCCCCGTGTGCCCACCCCTGTGGGCACAGCAAACCCCACCTGCATCCCGCCGGGATTTCGGGAGCACCATGAGGAAGGACCGCAGCCGCCGGGTGTCCCTGCCGCAGCACGGAGCAGCCCGAACCCCCCGCGGAGGCAGGGATGCTCGGTGGCCAAGCAGCTGCGGGATGAGCCAAGAAACTGTTTATATCCAGCAACTCGAAATCTGGCAACAGCTCTGTCTGTGCAAAACTTTTCACTTGGCTACCAGGCTGTTTTCCATCCTCGGGTTATTTCTCCAGCTCGGTTCATGTTTATAGTGGATTAACCTGCTGTGAGGAGCCTAGGTATTATTTATGGCTAATTATTGGCATTTGGCTGGCTGGGAGGATTGCAGGAATACGATACCGTGGTGCTTACACAGCTTGTTCCAAACTGCGTTCAGCTCCTCTGTCTGAGTGTGCGTGTTTACGATGCCAGCTCACGTTATTTTCATTACCCCCTTTCCACTAATAAACTTTTGGTTGAACCAGACTTGAGAAGAGAAAATCCTTTGCAGAAGATGTTTTGGTGTCTTTCCAAAGAGCCATTGTCAAGAAATCAAGGGCGCAGCCTTACTCCGGGATGTAAGGAGTTCAGCTGCGGTGGATTCGCCGCATTTGCATCGTATTAACTCCGGCTGCCGGCTGCCAAACGGCTCGCTCTTTGCATCTGAAAATAATAAGGCTGCGGGAATAATAGTCCTAAAGTGAATTTTTCAAAGCATCTTTTAAAAATATCAAGGCCAGGCTTGTGTTTACACTCAAGGCTTTCTGCACAGTTGGGAGACGCCGCCTGCTTCAAAGGCAGGAAGAGAAAACGTCTTCAGGTCAGAGCTCGACCTGGAGAGTTTGTGGAAAGGAGATGAGCAAAAGGTGATGTCCTGCAGATTCCATCCCCGGGACAAGCTGGAAGGGGTTAAATGCAAAAATGCCAATGGCTCGGGACGGTTTTACAGACCAGTGGTCAAACGCCATCCTGAAGTGGCAACGGCTTCTTCTTCTGGGCTGGGTGGAAAACCCATCCCTTTTGGCCAGGAGACCAAGAAAAAGGTGATTCAGCCCTTGCGCCGGAGGCGAGTCAGCACCAGGCAGCTCCGACGCAGCTGCCTCCACCCAAAATCCCCAAATCCTGCCCCAAAACACGCAGTGATGCTCTGGAAGAGGCATCCTGCAATGCAACGTGGGGTGACTGAAGGGAAAAAGGCAGGAGCAGCGAAGCAGGGAAAGAGGCTGAGCCTGGGACTGGTTTTGAACTGGTTTTTGAGCGCGGCGGCTGGGGAGATGCTGCCCATGGGGCCATGCAGTCGCAAGGGGAAGCAGCAGCCAGAGGCTTGTCGGCTATCATCCTTGGCAGCTGGCTCTGCTGTGCCCACGGCTCCAGCTGCATACTTTTTCACCATTCATTTTGGGTGAGAAAATGCCCCTTTGCTGACCCATCTCCGTGGCCATGACGCCTCCGACCAAAGGGAAAAGCTGCACAACCCTACAAGCCACCAGAGAATCCCCACCAGGAAGAGACACTGGGATACGGGGGACTGAGCAGGGGAGGATTTTTTGGGGTGGGCGGGTTAGCAGGGGACCAGGCCGCTCCCACAGCTTCGCCATCTCCCGTTCAACTCAGTGGAGGGACACGAGGTCCAGCGAAGGTGACATTTTCGTTCCGACTGAAGCCGGACATGTCCCATCGCTGTTGGGGACAAGGGTGTCACGGCAGCAACGCGTCTCCCAGACTATTTTTGACCACTCCGGCTTTAAAACCCAGCGTAAAGACCCCGGCGGAGCAGCTAAGCCCTTCGCGTGATGCTCAACTCCCAGCCCTGAAGCACCTCCAGCCCCAAGCTCCCTGGAAAAGCTTCCCTGCTCTGCGGATGGACGCAAAGGGTGTGTTTTCTAAATTAAAAAAAAAAAAAGGGCAGGTTTTTAAGCCATGTAATTATCCCACCATAAGTCCTGGCTGCAGCTGGTGGTTCCTCAAGCTCCACTTCCCTGTAGCATCTTCAAAAGAGACAGCGTCGAGCCCCGAAAAAGTTTTCGGCCAATTTCCTCCCACGGTGGCCGCCAAACCAGGGTCTTTCGGAGGTCCATCACCTGCACATGGCACCTCCAAGGGGCATCCCCCAGCTTGACGGGCTGCATCCATCAGGAGATGACGCTGGAGCACTCTTTCCAGTTTATCCCACATATTTCCCATTTCTCCCCAGCTGCATCACCTGCTTGGAGAAGATCTTTGGGATAAGGTTTTCCCAAGCTCCGGGCGAAGAGCAACCCGATGACCTCTGAGTCCACGCTCACCTCTGGCAGAAGCTGCTTTTTGTTCCCCACGCATCAGCACAATGAAATACTTTATTGCTGTGCCTCGCTGAGCAATTTTTATTTATTTCTTCAAAATCTTAAATAAACCTGTTTTTTAAAAGTACCTCTGGAGTAAGGGAAATGTATTATTATGGTAATTGTCTTGTGCTAATTATACTTATTACTATAATAACCATTTTGTTGTCACACAAATAAAGTGGATTACATCATTTGTAAGTGCCAGAGGCAAGCGATGGCTCCGGAGCAGCGAGCAGGCGAGTTATGTGGGTTTTCTCCTTGGGCTTGGGTGAGATGGTGCCCAG